GTGAGAAACAACTCTATAACCGTTAGCCTATTGATTATACTCACCATATCCGTCTGCCTATACTTCAGTGATCAGAGCAAGGTGTGGGTTTATGACCCATTGGTTAAAGGACAGGTAATTAAGAAAATACGTCTTTGTATTAGTAGGCAAATTTCTGAATATTAAATTATGACTGTTCTCCTGAGTAACTATTCATAACTTTAGGAAAATGGTAAAAAATGAAGGTTCTTATTGTATTATCTCAAAATAAACCGAGATTAATTTTTCTATTCTTGTTTTTCACTGGTAAATTACCCAACGGGTTGATCTCTGACGAAATCTCAGCACGGAAAGAGAAGAAAGCTAGTTTCGCATATGCTGTTTTACGCCATCTGTGGCGTAAAGGTGACATCCGGCTGGGTGTCAACCAAAGGCCGTGTGTAGTGCTCAGCAGTTCGCTGCATCTTCCTTTATGGCTGTGAGACATGGCCACTGAGAGTGGAAGACATGGAAAGACTAGCTATCTTTGATCATACGTGCCTGCGTTCTAACTACCGTGTGAAGTGGTGTAATAGAATGAGCAATATTGAGGTTGGGCGTCTAGTGCTAGGTTAGGAGGGGAAATCAATCGATGAAGCTGTAGAGCTTCATCGATTGAGATGGTTAGGATATGTTTTACGCATACCTAGCCTAGCCGTCGCCTTCCTTGACAACGGACAATCTCAGCTGACATAGGGTCAGGCTGGAAAAGAGCCTGTGGTAGCCAAACCAAAATATGGCCTCATCAGTTAATCAAATCCACAACAGTTAGTTTAAGTCATGTAAGAAGGTGTAGATCGCTATCTGGTTGGGGTCCTTGGGACGGTAAAAACCAATGAAGGCTGGAGATATTTGATGATATGGCTGAAAATCGTTCTCATGGAGTGTGGTGACTTGAACTGCTGCACATCGGTGGAATGTTCTATGTTGAAAACAGACAGACAAATCTATAAGCATTGACAGTGAACAGTAAACTAAAAGGGAATTTATCACATTTGAGTTTTTATGGTTGAAATTCCCTTAAGTCATAAGTGAGATGATATACTGATTTTAAAACCAGCAGATAGCAGTTATACGATAAGATGTGCAAATCATACGACTATATCATGTCAACATAAGATATGCCACTGAGGATTGAAAACTGTGTTCAGAAGATTTATCATAATTTGATAAAAAATTTATTCAGATTTATGCTGTATGGCCTACACTGTTTGACATCCAAATTTGAAAAAGGAAGGGAAGCATAAACCATAAATTCAGTTTAATCTGTTTCAAATCAGCGAAAATACCAATTGAGTCATGTAGAAGATAAAAGACAGATTCAGCGAAGAAAATTTTCTTTATCGACAAAAACATCTTCACAGGCTAGCTGTACAGTCGTATTTATATTTATCAAAAATGTGTAGTGGTCCGTCATTGAGTAATAGGGTGGGGTGACATAATTGGTATAATTACTCAGAAGTGGTTTCAAAAGTAAAGATAAAAGTTATAAATTACGTAATAATCAACATCCTACAAAGGAAGTTTGATAAGGTAAAAACTGTTATTGAAAGAGAAGAAAGGTAGTTGAGTGTCGATTTAATAAGTGTGAAGACGGTGAGGAAATGTACAAAAGGAGCATATGAGAGTGACAACAGTGAATTAATTGTTAATGTAAACGCAAAGTAACCATTAATAATAATAAGAAATCCATAGGGAACGACTAATGAAGAGGTTAAGACCGTGGTAGAATAAGAGACTGAACAAACCTTTTGCTGTATACGGAGTTGGGTTTGTATTGACGAATTGACACAGCCTCCACCACACACAAAAGCCGAAACCTTGCACCATTTGTACCATTCAGCTTCACCTGGGAGCTGCATGACTTGAGTTCACTAAGTACTAAAGAATTGAGCTAGTTATTGTCTTGCACTATCCATTTGCTAACCATGCCGAATAATGTTCAGAGGTGAGTCTGAAAAGTGTTCATCTTGTGCGGCTAATATAACTAGCTTCACAGGATCAGATGAATGTATAAACACACACAGAAATGGCCTAAAGTGGCAGTTTATCCTTCAAACATCCATTGGTCTTTTGTCGGCTGTAGAAATTTATCCATAGCTCAGCCGTGAAGAAAGCCTTACTCCGTGATCTCGATAAGCAGTTCTACAGAATCTCAGCAGCGATTACACTTTTAAACCCCAAGTTCATAAATAGCACTTTCTCCAGCACCATCTGGATTCTTTCTGGTTTTCGCTTTACCCTCATGTTTTTCTCGATGACTCTTAAAGGATATCCATTTTCCACGAAGACTCATCTGAGTCGCTCAAATTCACCATCGAAAGTATCACTGGCACATATCCCTCTTATTCTTGAGGATAAGGAGTGGATCAGGTTTCTCTTTCTTCTCAAAATGACCCAGCTATGAAATTCCGTGTATTGACCATTCCATGTTGGTTGCCTGTAAATTAATCTTCGAGGAGGACCTTCAGATCTCGTTTTTAGCAAAACATCTAAAAAAAAAGGAATTCCACGTTCATCTCAGAATCCGATGTGAAATGGATAGAATGATGGCAGTTGTTGAACTCCCTAGTTATCATTTCGATATTGGCATTCTTGTCGCATATGATAAAAGTCTCATCCGTGTGCCTTAACAAATTTCTTACCCTTTCCTCCTTAGTCCCGTTGAATATTACGTATTTTACAACTTTTATTTTTACATTTGAAGCCACTCCTGAGTAATTATATCAATTATGTCATCCCTGTCACTCAATAATAGACTACTTTACATTTCTGGTAAATATAAATATGACTGTACAACTATCCTGTGAAGATGATTTTGTCGATAAAGAAAATTTGCTTTACTGAATCTTCACTATATTTCAATTTATTTTATGATCTCAAGTTTAACTTAATAGAAATTTCATAATAAATTATAGGATTCAGTATTCTATATGATAACTCAAATGATAATTGACTTGGAGAATCCCACAAACTTGAATTTCTTGTCTATTTAATCGATTCCTTTTCGCTCCAAACGGGATATGTGGCTTTAAGCCTTAACTCTGAAGTTTTACACGGCAGTGTTATTTATGCTTTACATGGTGGAGTTGCTAGTCTCCAGTCAAAACCCCACCCGTCATCTTTACGGGGGCCTACTATCGACTAAACAGTGAACCAGAAATCGAGTTCAAACCATGCAAGGTGTATTTGGTGAGCACTCTATTGCTGAACCACTGACGTACACAAACTCCCAGTAACCACTTAGAATGTATGACTGAAGATTTGAGAAAAAGATTGTTCTGACTTAATCCAAACAGTTATTTGCTAAAACATTAGACCAACATCCTAATTAAGAATAATGAAGAATTCAGCCTAAGTAGAGTTTATTGTTATGGTAAAACATCTATTTCGGTTAGTGTGAATACGAAGCCCTCACATATGTGTGTATGTGAAAATATACAAATGTACAATGTATGCGAATGTTAATTTCAAATGCTGGCTGCTCTTAGCGCCCCTTTTGGAGTTTTAATTTTGAAGTTGTGTGAACGTAGGATTGTTCCATTGTTATTCAATGACATTTTTTGCTGAACATCACTGTCACTCAGTATGCTAACATCATGATTTGAATCCTAAGTGGTTTTTTTTTTGAACGATCCTCACACCAGTGCATTATTCCTTCAACCGTCGATTGGTAATAATGGTGGAATATTTATTGTATATTCCTTGAAGGCTAGTCTCCTTTTCAATTTTTCGGGTACATGTCAACACACTGCTTTAAAATGGCAACTCGTAAAGCTATTGAGAAATACGCCACATGAACGACTGTGAGCTTCACGCCCTACTAGGAAAACATATTTGTTATTTTCAATCAAAACTTTATGATATCTCCAACTATCAGATTTCTGTCTAGCATAAATTTTATTCCATTGGTGAATTTAACCTGTCACTGGACCAACATATTTACGCGTTTAAATACTAATTAGTTATTAAGAACCTCAGAGACACCTTCTTGTACGTACTTTAAAACTGGCATGAAATTAACTACAATATTTCAATCAGAATAAAAGTTTGCGTTAAATTTCTTTACTTGGCCTAGAACAAGTTTCTGTAATAGTTATTATTATTATTCCTTGCGTTCTAAGCTGAATATAAGACCTCAACAACAAATCACCACCTTGCTCTGTTTTCTTCAGTCTGCTTCAGCTGGCTAGCTCCACGATTGACCAAACTCTTTCATCTCTTCCTCACATGATCTCCTCCATGTCACCCTTCCACTGACGACCCACTCGTCGCTTCCCATTGTGATTCCACTCAAGGGTCTGACGTGTGATGTTATTCGGCTGCCTCCTCAATGTATGCCTGATCCATCTCCGTTTTCTCTAACATATTTGTTGGCTGAGTGATCGGCTCTTGCTTAGTCTTTCTGGCCAGTAGTCTGGCAATTTGATCTTCAGTACGCAGCCATTTAAGGCAGCTGCTGATAGAAGTCTGCACTCTGCTAAAAATCCACGCCAAATTTCTGACCCGTATAGAAGATCCGACTTTACATTGGTGTTGGAAATGCTAATTTTGTTCCTTATGCTGAGTGTAGAATATTTCCAAACTGGTTTCAGTTTGATGAAAGCGTATCTTGCTTGTCTTTCCGATTCTGATTTTGACATCTTCGTAGTTTCTGCCTGTAGTTGAGACGATGCTTCCTAGGCAAGTGAAGGAGGCAACCTCTGTTTAGTCTCTCCGTTGACGGTGATTTGTGCTAGTTGTTGTTGCTGTTGATTGGCTATATTCATCACACCCGTCTTCTCTTTGTTCACCTGGAGTCCTGTTTTCGCTAGTGAGTGCCGACTAACACGAAACCTAGGTCCAAGGCGTCCTTCCGATCGCCTCCAACCAGCAAATACATGCCTCCTTGAATAAATTATGTAATACTTTAGAAGTCAAGTTAATAAATTACTGCTTAGAAACTTATCGATCGTAATTATTGTTTTTTGCTTCCTTTTTAGATGACATACCCAACCACATGATCATCCATGCAAATCTTCGTATGAATCTGACTCACAGAAATGACTTTCTTCTGAATGAATAGGAAGTTTCATCAGAAAAAAATCAATAACAAATATAGTCTACACAATACAGGACTACTACATTACTGAATTTCATCATTTATTTTTGTAAGAAAAACAGAAATGATTGCATTTCGATTACGCAATATATTAAAAATTAGTGAAACTTTATGTATATACTAATAATGTTGTTTAAATTTGGCGTATCCCAATTATTTGAACGTGTAACTGTGCAAGAAAATATTCCATTGAACACTGTGATATTTGATTTAAGACCAGTGTTAGAACGACACTTCACTGGTGTCCTATCTTCATCGCCGCCATCATCATCATCGTCGTCCTCCTCTTCCTCGTCCTCCTCGAAATCAACCCATAATATAACAGCATTTGCAAATCAACAAGAGACATTTTGGCCATTTATATTAGATGAATTTTTAGTCAGATTAGCCAAACCGCTTGATCGTGAAATGATTTGTCTTATACAAACAGAATCACTAAGACATCCCTCAAGTCGTATGGAGACAAAACTGACATCTTATAGTAGTAATACAAATCAAGTATGTCTTCCTGGAGCTTGTTGTCAACTTTTACACGTGAATATCATTACAAGTCCAACGGAGTTGCCAACACCTTTTTACATACAAGTCGCTGTACAGGATGTAAATGATAATCCGCCTAGATTTCCCCCACTGCATACACCATACATTGTAGTTAGAGAAGATATTAAGTCACATGAGAAAATATGGCTGCCTCAAGCATTCGATGCAGACAGTGTTCAATTCAGTATTGCTGAATACCGTGCAGTTAACTGGGTCCACGGTAATCAAAGTCATTTTCACTTGGGCGTTTCAGATTCCAACGACATGGATGATGATTTGAGCGGGGAGGTGATGAATAAATTTACAGGTGAAAGGCATACAGCCACTGAATTAGGCAGACCTTATTTAACGATAACTGAAGAATTAGATCGTGAAGCTATTGATCTTTATTCATTCACACTGATCGCCATAGATGGGGGCGGTAATAATAATAATAATATCAATACTAATCTTCCTGGTAGCGCTAATAAGGCGCTTACTGGATCTGTAAGTATCATAATAAAAATCTCAGATGTTAATGATAATTCTCCAACATTTGAACAAAATACCTATCGTGCTGAAGTAGCAGAGAATTCAGTGAATTCTCCTATCATAGAATTTAATTTAATCGATAGAGATATCGGTGATAATGGCCGAGTCACTATAATTATAGATGATCCTTCTGGACAAGCTCAACAACTTTTTCGTATCACCTTACAACCAAGCCAAAATCCTAATTCAAAAATGTACACTCATCCTGGATTTATGAGTTCACATTCACAGCAGATGAATACACCAGCAACAAGTCATTATAAGGGCTCCTTACAAGTAATTGGTCCATTGGATGCTGAGAAACATCAGACACAATTAAGATTTCATCTAATTGCCAGTGATCATGGTCAACCGGTATTAAATTCACGTTGTGAAATACAAATAAATATTATAAATATAAATGACAATCCACCGAAAATTGTATTTTTAAACAATGGTAAAAGACTGTCTGACGGACGTATTTCACTACCTGAAGTTGAAACACCACAGAGAGCTATTGTCGCTTTAGTTCATGTCACTGATGACGATTCACCAACAGAACAACTTCGCTGTCATTTAATTAAAGAAGATGATACCTTTTCATTTGAAGAGACTGGTGGAATCAACTTTTTAACACAGCAGCAGAATCAACAACTATTCAGTTTATTCAGTGAAACAATTGGTATTCATTCCACTTATAAACAGTTTGTTATTCGAACGAAAAAAGTTTTGGATCGTGAGGAGAAAAGTTTTTATTCGGTAAGTTCATATTCATTTTTTTTGCTAATAATGGTTGAAATCTAAGGCTTTTAGTTTTAATCTTATTATGAGTTTGAATATCAGTATGAGTAAACGGTTATCAACCAAGGGACGTGTGTACTGCTCATCAGTTCGCTCCGTCCTTCTCTATGGCTCTGAAACATGACCAATACGCGTTGAAGACATGAAAAGGTTGACTGCTTTCGATCATAGATGTCTGCGATCTCTGTCTCACGTTAGGTGGTTCAGTAAGGTAAGTAATGTTGACGTTAGGCGTAGAGTGTTGGGCAAAGAGGGAAAATCAATCGACGAGGCTATAAAGTTACATAGACTAAGATGGTTAGGTCACGTGCTGCGCACGCCTAACCACCGCCTCCCCCGACGGGCATTATTAGCTGATATAGGTGCGTGCAGGTTGGAAAAGAGCCAGTGGTGGCCAAACAAAAACATGGCATCAATCCATGAAACCCTTGACAGTTAAACTGAGTAAGGTAGGGAGATGCAGACTCCCGGGTTGGGGGCCTCGGGACTCCAGGAATCAATGGCTGGAGACAATAGGTGACATGGCTCCAAATCGTTGTCAATGGCACAGATGTATTCAGTCTCTGTAATCTTTCATATTCCTTTCTACCATTACCCATTCTGTTCCGCTCTTATACTTGTGAAACTCTATTGATTCTCTTCACTCATCTTCTTGTCTACCTCTGTGTGATATTTGGAAGAGGGCAACTCGAACTGCTGCACTTCGGTGACAAGTTCTATGTTGAATCCAGACAGACAGACAGATAGACATCAGTAAACGCTAAACTATCAAAGGTTAAACACTGTAGGAAGCCTCTGAGTCACAGCACTTGATTTTTTTCCAAAAATGACCTTCGAATGTAATAATATTTATTGGTTGGTCACTAGGGCGTAACCAGTGCCTGAGTTCAGTTCTCGGTGTTGATGAAGATTGAATTCTGTCAGTGGAGTGTGTAGTGCGTCGGTGGCACAGTGGTTAGGACTCTCGCCGACCATGCATATGGTCCGGGGTTCGAGTCCACGTCGACGCACACCTGATATCTAAGGTCGGCCTGTAAAATTTGGGCTACCGATATCCATGCTGAAAATTCCATACATGTACCAAAAATACAGTGTGGAATCAAGCTGTAAATCAAAAAAAAATAAAATAAATTATTGTCACTAAGGTAGTCGACTGGCCATTGCAGTGCGTTTTGAATAGGCGTTGGATGGTTGAAGGTGATTGGCGAGAAGCCCTGAACCTAGATTTGTAGCTTTCTGGCACTCATCAATTACTAATGCATATATGCAATCTTGGAGGGACTTATGTCCACCTGAGTTTCGAACTAGCGTTACTCAGTGCTGCAGTCAGAGACATTACAACCGAGCTACTCGAGTTCATGACTGAACTCCTTTAGAATTGTCCCAGACGACGACTGCTGCCTTGTCGAGGTGGTCGCGCTTGAATACCGTAGTGATCCAACAAGCTAAACTGGCTGGGACTCATTTTCCTGCCGGTCCAACCATGTCAGGAAATTTGTTTGGATAGTTGTTAGACTGAAAGCAGTTATCACGGGATACTTGAACTCCAGAATCCATTCAGATCATATGGTGTATGAACCGGTATTGGTCATCGGCAACCAAGGGAACGTAGCTGCTGACTCTTCTCGCTGCCTTGAGGATTAGACTCCAAGTCAAAGGCTCAAGAGCTGGTCCCTTGAGACAACAACCTGCTTCGGTCTGGGCGCCCAGGCAGTATCTCAGTCCTCACACAGTCACACAACCAACAATCCTATAGGACTGTAATGGATACATTGATTGGTCACTAGAGAATAACCAGAGCTATGCATCTAGTCCTTGATTTTGTTTCAGGGCTTCTTGACGATTGCTTCCAGCTGTTTAGCATCAATGTAAAAATCTGTATAAATAAAGATAAAATTTTATTCCTACCGTAAGTGAACACTGATGTTCTCATCACTGAAAAGAATTGGTCAGCTACTTTCCAGTCTCTGTCTTCAGTATTTAAAGACAAAATTTGGTTCTAAGAATGACCTGGTCCACTCTGTTTTGGTACAAATGGCTTTACGTCAAGTGGCTGTTTGTTGCAATCCCACGACAGGCAACATGTGCGTCTTCTTTTACTTTGTAAAACACGGAACGCTGTTATTCTTTTGCATTCAGTCAAATTTATTTATTAAATTACTATGTTTACTTTCCATTAAAATGCGATAAAGCACTATATGTCATTACCTGTCACGAGTAATATTTAAAGAATACCTCGAGGTCTTTGAAGGCTATATACTTCTGAAGTAACCTCAGTCAAGTCAGTGACGTGTACAGAAAATCCAAAAAAATACTTCACAACTCCGGTATAGTGATTTCAACCTTAAGTGTGAAAGAGAAAAGACATTTCTAGGGAAACACTATTCAAAATACCATCCACATTTATATGAATTTTTTGTTAAATGTGTCTCCATATATGACATTTGGTGCAGGATGAAAGTCGACTGTGCCTCAAATTTTTACCTGATAAGTTTTGTGAAATCAGGCGAAATTTTTTCTGAAAAAAACAATACCTTAGAGACCAACATTCCACTCTGTTTGGGTTCCAAAAGATGCTAGGAAACCCATCAAGTGTTTCTTAAGATTTCATGAAAGTTCTCGGAAAATAAACATCTTAAATCTCGTAACTGTACGTAACCAGTGTCATATATCTAGCTAGTCCTTAGTGTTCGTGCTAGACTAGCAAACATCACAGCACTACAACGGGTCAACCACAGATCTTTAATAGATTAGTCGAAATGTCTCTGGCTGTGACAATGGCTGATGTGACTTCAAATCTCACAGGAGACATTAGTTCATTTAAGGTTCACTTGCTCTTGTGGAGCTAAGTACATTGACCGTACCATGTGTCCGCTTGTAAAACGCGCGCTGGAACACTACACACCATGGTTGGCAGAGGGATAACGCAAGGTGGTATACAGTTCGACAACAGGACATCTGGTGAATTCTCGAAACTCAGCTCCATTCGAAAAGTCCTGCAAAGCCAAATACTAGATACGATCCAGCCTACCAAAGGGAGTGAAATCAAGGCATCTAGGAATAGCTGAGGCACTGGTGATTCAAAAACTCAAGTCCAAAAGGAGTACGTCCAACCGTTGTCCCTACAGTGACCGTCATGAAAAGTCACTTCCACCCATAATGATTATACAATTACCTTTATTGTCCAACCTTCTCGTTTATTTTTAATATTTACCTTTTTAAATCCCTCTCTGCATTATTAGATTTGATAACTGTTTTTATCTTTATATGTCCTAACCTCCTACCCATTTCGTTAACACTACGTCCTTTACTCGTAATTAGACAAAGTGACGAGCTCTCCAGTGGTGATAATCTCATTATGTCCTTTCTACTCGATCTTCCTGATTATTACACACTGGAATTTTTAATTTGACCTTTGACCTGAAATATTTCTAGAGTACTGCCATCACCTATCTTCTGTTTATTACACTTAGTAATTTTATTAATCTGACCTCTAACCGGAAATAATTCTGGAACTTTCGCACCCATTTACTATAAATACACAAATGTACAGCCTCCTAGTTGAGGACTTCGTCGAAAAGAAAATTTTATTCTCTGCGACCGTCTTTTTAATAATTTATTTAAAGTTGCGGATATATCTTGCAAAGAAGCATCAACAAGGACGAAACGTAGGTTCAGAGATTCTCACGAATTGCTCTGAACCATCTAATAATTCTTTGTTGCATCAAAAATGTTTAATTTTATTTTATTATTATTAATCCCTTGAGTTCCAGGTGTAACACAGATCTTCAATAGAACATTCTTATTACACTCTTTTCCCTGCAGTCCTTTCTATATGTATCCCCTAGTGCCCATAAACTTTCATTTACTCATCACACGATCTCCTTCACGGCATCCCAACACATACACCCAACTTTTCGTTTCCCGTTCGGGTTCTAATTGTGGGCCTGTCTGAAGTGTGATATCACGTAATTGTTTCTTCAGAGTATGTCTAATCCACCCCTATTTACTTCAGCATATTTGTCGGATGACAGGTCCTTGGTTGGTTCGTTTCCAGAGTTCTTTGTTGTTTACTTTTTTCCGGCTGGCCATTTAATATTCAGTATTGAGCAAAGACAGCTGTTGGTGAAAGTCTGCAGGCTATTGGAAACGACTTTTAGTGATACACACTCCAAGTCTTTGAAGTGTATAAAGGAACTGACTGACTTGATATTATTGCAGAAAATCTGAATCTTGTTCTTCATTGATTATTTATGCTTCTGCAACTTTAAATGAACTAATGTCCCCTGTGAGGTTTGAAGTCACATCAGCCATTGTTACAGCCAGAGACATTTCGACTAATCTATTAAAGATCTGTGGTTGACCCGTTGTAGTGCTGTGATGTTTGCTAGTCTAGCACAAACACTAAGGACTAGCTGGATATATGACACTGGTTACGTATAGTTACAACCAACTGACGTAAACAGGGATTTAAGATGTTTATTTTCCGAGAACTTTCATGAAATCTTAAGAAACACTTAATGGGGTTCCCAGCATATTTTGGAATCAAAAGAGAGTGGAATGTTGGTATCTAGGGTATGGTGTTTTTTAAAATTCACCTGGGTGAGGTAGATATACACACTGATTTCAGAGTAGTGATCTGTCGTACTTTTCCGACCCTGGTTGGCTTTTACACTGTTATACCTGTCTTCTGTAGCTGGAACGGCACTGTCGTTGGGATATCTTTATTTGAAAAAGAGAAGACGTTCAGCAAAGAGACTCTTTTCGACGGCGAATTCATTCACATAGCTAGCTGTACAATCGCATTTATATATAATTTGTTGTGTGTGTGTATACATTGTGGTTTAGATAGTTAATCAGGTAATACAAGAATGATCAAATATAGAAACGAGGTTAATCAGATAGCAACTAAAGTAAGATTAAGTTAGTTAGTAAGTTAGATGACATAATATAATTGA